CCCCCCCCCCCTTCCACTAAAGCAGCTGTACACCAAACTATTCTGCCAGTACGTCGCCTCTCATCCAAATTTAACATTCCCCCTTTCCTTCCTTCCTCTTATTTAGAGTCTTGTGTAATTTTGCTGCTCCTCTCTGCTTAGGCACCGTGGCGTGGCCCTGGCTTGTTAGGCTGGTGATGGTGTGTCTAATTGGCACCTGACTCGTTAAGTATTAGATCACAATACTGTGTTCTATCTCAGAACACAAAGGCCAGTGTTTCAAGGATGCCCAAGAAATGCCATGATTGAGATAATGAGGATGGAGTTGAATCTGCAGAGTATTGGGATAACAATTTTTTTAGTAACGAAGGAGACGATTGTGGCATCAAGATTGTGTTATATTTTATTTACTTACCTTAAAGTTGCCCCTAAAGTTACCTCGACGCTAATGCATGCTCCAGAGGTAGGCCTACCCAGATGCATAGCTCAAAGGTAGGCCTACCCAGATGCATAGCTCAAATGTAGGCCTACCCAGATGCATAGCTCAAAGGTAGGCCTACCCAGATGCATAGCTCAAAGGTAGGCCTACCCAGATGCATAGCTCAAAGGTAGGCCTACCTAGAGGCACGTCCACAAGTGAAGGTCCTCCCGGTGTCGCCAGAGCCTAGATAGTGAAGTTTGACCCTCGACCCCCCAAGTTAGTCTCCGGTTGGTTAGGAAGCAGGTGGATGGAACAGTGTCTCTAGGCTTGGAAAGTCCCTTCCTCCACACTCTTCACCCTCACCCTCCTCAGAGGGTCAAGATCTATCACTTGGGACACAACACTGAACTGTTTCTAACCACTTACCGAAGTTATGATTCAGTAGGAGCGATCTCACACTCGTCTTGCTGCTTCTCTTGGCCGGAAAAAAATAACTTTACAGAACCTTTCTAAATCTGGTTGTCTAAAATTATACCACATTTAAGAAGGGTTTTCCTGTTGGATCCGATGGAGTGCCAGGTGTAGTGTTCATTTATAGTGTTCTAGGTATTAGTGAGAGTGTACTAGAACTGGGGGCAGGTGTACTCACCTTAGCAACAGTGTAGAGGCAAAATATACGCCAGTGGAAATGGACACTCCCAAACACCCTAGCAACAACCGGTACTTTGTATAGATAAACAATTCAGGTGGACTTTGATACAGGAATTTATCAAATGTGTCTCGGTGCTGTTGTAGGGGAGATATTGATAGTGGGGGGGGAGGGGTGGGGGGGGGGGGGGGTCTTTACGTCATTGAATGCCAGGAGACGACCTGACTTAATGCTCCATCCCCCCCTCCCTCCTCTTTACCAGTGTCACTTCCCCCTACCAGGTAACCTCGCCGCCTCCATACCGTAACTCCAGCAGCACTTGGCCCCACCATAGATTCCCCCCCTACCCCCTTACCCCTTCCAAGGACATGGAAAACAAGGAGGCAGAGTTAGGTAGGGGAGGGGGCGGGTCCTCGGGCAGGGGGGGTGGGGGAGGGAAGGGGAGGGGGGGCGAATACCTGTGTCGTTATATTGGGTGAAGGGGGAGTTATTTTGGCTGCGTCTAGGTGCGTCACCGTCACGCGGCGCCCACTGGGAAAACCCTTTTTCACCCTCCCCCCCCCCATTTTCCTTTTCATTCCTCAACGCCTTCATTCCCCCCCCTCCCCCCGTACCAGAAGGTGGGCAACCCGCTCCACTTCCCCACCGAACCATCACACCAACAACACTAGCGGTAAATACCACCAGACACTAACTGGCATACAACTGGCATTGGAATTCGTTTATTGAGGTAAAATACACACAAAGGGATGAGCTAGTATTGTCTTTTGAGAGAGAGAGAAGGGGGAGTGGGGGGAAGGAGGGGGGGATGGCAGTCCTTGAATCAGCTGTGTTGGCACTGAGTGCCAAGCGGGCAGGCAGTCACCCTGACTACAGCAGCAGCAAGCAAGGGAACCTCACCATATAAGTCCCTAACACACACACACACACACGGTCTGTGTGTGTGTGTGTTTTGGTCCAAGGGGATTCCCCCCCCCCCCCCCCCCCACACACACACTCCTTGCCCAAACCCAACTTTTTTTTTTGCTTGTCTGGCATTTTGGATTCGCCAGAGATAGTATGGATGTTTGAACGCCTTTGCCAAAACGCGCGCACGCACGCGCATGCATGGGGGGTTTACCGGTTGATTGACAGTTGAGAGGCGGGACCAAAGAGCCAGAGCTCAGCCGCCCCCGCAAGCACAACTAGGTGAGTACACACACACACACACGTACATACATTTTCTTTTAACGTTTTAACATTGAATTTTGTAACTAGCTCATCAATATTGTAACTTGCTTACCTAAATGAATTGTGGGGTTCAGTCCCTGAGCCCATTATGTGCCTCTGTAACCCTTTCCACTACCGCCCACAAGATGGGTATGGGGTGCATAATAAATGAACTAAACTAACTAAAACTAACTTTTAACGTAAAGATAGCGAGTAAATGGAATACCCTAAAGGAGCAGATTGCAGAGGCTAACTCCATTTATAACTTTAAAAGCAGTTATGATAGGGACACAGGCCAGGAGTCATTGTATTATACAACCAGCGGCTGGAACAGCGGGGTCCAAGAGCTGGAGCACGATCCTGCAGGCAATAATAGGCGAGTACACACGCACACATGCGCGCGCACAAATTAAATTCATAAAATCATATTTACTGTCAAAATACAGCAAATTAATTTGGAAAATAAAATGGTAGTCTAATGAATGATACGCGCTTGATTTTAAACATGAAATTCCAGTATATTTAGAGAACACGATGCTTAACGGTCGTTAACTTTGCAACAACGAAGTCAAATGAAATCCATTGAAATAGAGGAGAAATAAAACATTAAATATTGCTCAGACAAGGCAGTAGGACCAGCAGGGATATCACCCTTGGTACTAAAAGAATGCGCTGAACACCTGAGTGTTCTACTATTGGAGATTTGTTTCAGTCATCGCTCCAAGAAGGTAAATTATCTGGTAAATATACATTTGCAAACATTGTCAGTAAGCAACTGGTGACAGTGGGCACTTTACAATTATAATTGTCACCGATGCCTTGGTTGCCAAACATTGGAAAAGAAGAAACGCTATAGAACAGTGGACAAGACGTATGCAGATCAGCTTGGTAACTATTCAACAGTACGCACACACCTGCACAAATTAAAGGATGTTCACACACACACACACACACACACAACGGGTGGAATGCATTAGGCAGTGATGTGGTGGAGGCTGACTCCATACACAGTTTCAAATGTAGATATGATAAGAGCCCAGTAGGCTCAGGAACCTGTACACCAGTTGATTGACAGTTGAGAGGCGGGACCAAAGAGCCAGAGCTCCACCCCCGCAAGCACAAATAAGCGAGTATACAGACACACAACTGGGCAGGGGAGGGTTAGAGGATCAAAGAAGATAAGGAAGGAAAAGTATGGAAACTAGAGACCCAGATGAGACAAGCAAGGATGTAACAGTGTCCAAGTCAGTTCTCCTTCAGCGTGAGGCGGAGCCAACAAGACAGTAGTTGTTGTTGTTTAAGATTCAGCTACTGGGAACAAAATGTTCCAAGTAGCACGGGCTATGGCGAGCCCGTAGGCACAGGAGCGGGGCTGTAATTTGAAAGACAGTAGAGCTGAACTCCATATATATATACTCTCAAGAGAGAAATCCATAAGAGAAATAATGAGTAAGAACCACTGCATCACACGACCAGCAAATTAACATCTGGAGGGGATAAGGAGCTGCAGTTCGGCCCCCAAGAGTCAGTACGGAAAACCACTGAAAACTTTAATAATATTTACGACGAAGGAAACTGACCAAAACAATCATAACTTACTTCTTTAGCTACATGAGATTATCTGTGTGTGTGTGTGTGTGTGTGTGTGTGTGTGTGTGTGTGTGTGTGTGTGTGTGTGTGTGTCTCTCTCTCGCACAAAACAGCCATGTTCGCGGGATTCCCAACCAAGGCTAGTCTTCCTTCAGCTGTCTCGAGGTTAATGGTAAACACAGAGTTTGGGAATCCATCCCTCCCCCTCTCTTTCACACATCTCCCCCCCCCTTTCTTTCTCTCTCACTCTCTCTCACTCTGTCTCCTCCCTGATATTCATTGGCCTTGAGTAAACCCAGAGAAGTCAACTTATCAACAAGGTTATAGACTGAAGAACGTCCTAGCCGTTCTCTTGAGATATGGGTAAACCCAAGAAACGCGCGAGATCGATTAGGAAACGGGTTTTGTCGCGAGATGCAATTTAAAACACGTCAGACGTTGCCTAAGGGCCAACCAGGACTTTGGTTGAGCCTTCCTAAGGAATCATGGCTTGTGAAACAGGTGTATCACAAGGAAAAAAAAAAAGAGCCTTGTAATTAACTTGTCAGAACATACGCCCTGAGAGAAACTGTCCAGGATACGTTTTCTTTAGAGTGGTCATAAAGAAAACGTTACTCGGGAGCTTAAAAAGAGGACGGGAAATTATATCCGTTATAATAGTGACGTCTAGAAAATGTTGGCCAGGTCAGGGAATGAACGTTTTCAGCGTTGTTTAGTTAAACAATTTGCTACCATAATTGTGTATTGTGATCTTGGAATAAACGTTTTTACGAGTACATTCTTGTACTTCACTTGGCAAGAGCTCTCTCACTCTCTTTCTCTCTCTCTCCTCTATCCTCTCTCTCCCTCTCTCTCTCTCTCTCTCTCTCTCTCTCTCTCTCTCTCTCTCTCTCTCTCTCTCTCTCTCTCTCTCTCTCTCTCTCTCTCTCTCTCTCTCTCTCTCTCTCTCTCTCTCCCCTCTATCCTCTCTCTCTCTCTCTCTCTCTCCCCTCTATCCTCTCTCTCTCTCTCTCTCTCTCTCACTCACAAACTCCTACCATTGCGCGGCTGGTAGACGTAGCCAGCAGCACAGCATTTACATGTGAGAGTTGCTACGTGTAATAGGTGGCAGTGTAGACGATGTTGATGACTCTGGTGTGTGTTCTTCCACAGGTCAGACGTGTATACACGTGGCGGCCCAGGGAGGCCACAAGGACATCCTTCAGCACCTCACCTGGTATGGTGCAGATATCAACGCCAGAGTGAGTATATTACCCTCTTCTTGTTGTTAAAGATAGGCTCACCATAGCCCGTGCTTCTTGCTCCGCTCCTGTGCCAGGTAACTTACGGGCTCACCATAGCCCGTGCTACTTGGAACTTGTTCCGAGCAGCTGAATCTATAACAACATGTTAAAGATTTAGCTACTCAGGACGAAGTGTCCATGTAGCACGGGCTATGGTGAGCCCCGTATACCACGCACCTTTCATCCTTTATGTGGCCCTTACGGGCTTTTCATGCCCGTGCCACTTCTTGGGTGGCTTAATCTTTATCAATCATCATCTCTATGTGGTCATACCAAATATATATATTTATTCCGCTTTGACTATAAGCACTAGCTAAAAAATAATACTCATTCCCTATGATAATTGTGTTTATACTGGTTTAGAAACACTGTTGTAGATTTATTGAATTACCGGGTAATATAATAGGTGTAAGTTCGAGATACGATGTTACATTAACGTAGTTCCCCCAGACGTGTCCGGGGGGGGGGGGTGCCCCCCCCCCATCCTGGGCTTTTGACGTGGCTTTCCCCATTTTCTGTGCGCCTCTCGAACCCGCCCCCCCCCCCCACTCTATGATTAAAGATAAGTGCACCACTTGAAGCGTTGGAGATCAAAACCAAGCTGGGGGAGGAGGAAGGAGGAGATTGGGGGGGGGGGAGAGGAAAAAGTGGGGTCATTACCATTATTATGTTGTGGAAAATCCTCCCCCCCCCCCCCCCCTCAGAGTTGTATATACCCGTTTTCTCCATCTCTCTGGTCGAGCAACAACTACTCGATCGCGTATTATATGAATGGCACTCTGTAGCCATCATTTAGTTTGGTATACCCGTTAGCTTTACCAGTCTCTTGATTTTTTTTGGATCATGACTGGTTTACTGACCAGCCAACAGGTGTTCTTTACTCCCGGACACAGTCATGTATAACTTAATGTATGCACCACACACAGAGACCACACTAACGTGATGCATCAAATGAACAAATCCACAAGGGCAGTGACGAGGATTCGAATTTCAACCCTTTTAACCCTGTCGTAGCTCAGTCGATTATGGCAGTGTCTGGGATGTTCCCAGACGCAGGTTCGAATCCTCGTCACTGCCCTTGTGGATTTGTTCTAATGTATGTACATTTATACATACAACTTGCCCGAAACGCATTGCGTAATAGTGGCTTTAGGCATTGTATGTACTAGCTCTATCTATATATCAATCCATTAATGTAACATCACTTGTATGTATGTACCTTACCTGAATAAACATATTTATTTATTTATATTTATACAGGGAGATGTAGGGCACATCTTCCTGTGTGTGTGTCTCCCTTGACTGTCCCTGTCGTCTCTACTAAATATTTCGTCATACTGACCTGGGTTGTGTTGGCATCTTTCAGGAAGGCAAGAGTGGACGAACTGCCCTCCACTACGCTGTCGAGGCCCGCGACCCCAGCCTAGTGGCCTTTCTCACAGAGTCCTGTAGGGTCTCCCTCACCCTAGAGACGTATGCGGGCCTAACACCCTATCAGGTGAGTGAGGGCTCTCACGTGTGTGTGTGTGTGTGTGTGTACGCCTGCAACAATTGGTTATTGCTAAAATTCAGTGTAGCTCAGTAATAATAGACCACACGCTTGTATTAGCTTACATAGCTGTATAAATTAACTTGCATAATTACTATCCACACTGCAGGTTTTCAAATTGTACATGAACCAGCCAACACACCATTGCTGTTCAGACTTGCATAACTGGAAGTAATCAACGTGAACAATTGTACTAATAAAGTTTTCATGCCTACGCTAATAAAAAAAATGCAAACCTTCACTGTATTTAACCAATCTTGCATGGCCGTACTAATCACTTCAAATCTATTATAATTAAATACGTATCACAAGAAGGCGCTTGCACACCAACAAGTTGATGGTCACATTATGTAGAGTAACTAGCGTGGAGACACATCACGCCGGCGCTAACATCTGTGTTTCTATCTTACAGTTGGCCTTAGCGAACGGAGCGACGGGCCTGGCTAACCTCCTCCTGGAGCTTGGTGCCCCTAGTGACGCCCTACCCCCGTACCTCACTGCTGACGACGACCTCGACTACGATGAGGTAGGTAAGGTCATGTCATCATCAGGGTTATATCATGCCTCCGTTATGTACCACAGGGGAGGAGGGAAGGTACGTTTGGTTTGATTCGTCTTAAATCACAAGGGGTTAAAAAGAGGTTATTAAATACCTTAACTTCCTAGGTGTTAATAGCCTCCGTATCTTGATAGGTGACCGCTTCCCAGTCCGTCCTGCAAACAAAGATCTAAAAGTGATTCCATGCAACCGCCAAACCTTCTATTTATGGGTGAAAAACGGTTTATACACGACTCACAACTCATTTCATTCGAACACTTCCGGAACAAATGCTTCACTGACGAATTTTGTTCGAACCACAATGCTGTAAATGCTTCACCCACGTACTACAAATAATCGCCAACAGAACCTAAACACCTAACCTATGCCTATATATAAACAATATGCTAATATATTATAATATTAATTTCTATTTGAGAAAATTCCCGTTTTGAATGAAGAGCATGTACACATTTATGAATGCGTCTGTGGGGTCGACCGCTATCTGTGATGAACTTGAGTCGAGGACGGGTTGCTGCTTCCGTTGGGTTCTCATCCACCGTCCAACCACTTGGGATGGACGGTAGAGCGACGGTCTTGCTTCATACTGGTCGGCGTTCAATCCCCGACCGTCCAAGTGGTTAGGCGCCAATTCCTTTCCTCGTCCCATTCCAAATCCTTATCCTGGCGCCTTCCAAATGTCATATAGTCGTAATGGCTTGGTGCTTTCTCCTGATAATCCATTCACGCACCCACTCCTTCGATCGTCGTCACCGTAAACCAACAACAAGAGTTGTTCCCTTGTATACTGGTACATTAAGGCTTGGCAACCATCTTAACGAGCTGGTTAGTCCTGTCATACTTTTGTACTTTAAGTCATAGTCCTGATTCACTATTAAAATTTACAATCTCATTCCTGTTAAATATAGTTATTCGTTTCAAGTACAGTACAGGCTGCAAAGGTCGCTGTATTTGAGCTTCTAAAAATGGCAAGAGCGAATCAACTGAAACATTTTGTGGTTCTTCGGTTAATGCAAACAAATCTTTGCAAACCAACACTCGAACCTACATGAACCCTGAACAAGATATTTGTTGTAAACAAAACGTCGAATTTCTAAATCAGCGAGGCGCCTGCGGGCCCGGCGACCAAAAATAGCATACAATGGAGGTTCCGTAGTCGCCTAGCGAGTTTTTACTGCCGTCCGAACCTCCCTGCACTAAACGACCTTGTCTGGCTTCGACCCGTGTCCCGAGACGTACTGGTGGAGGAGCCGCCAACCTCTGGGGGGACTTCCCTGCCGGCCTCCATCAAGGGTTCATTAATTTGATTCTCCTGAAGGTCGATTGTTCGCAAACATGGCGCGTCGGTGTTTCAGGCGTACGTGAGAAAAGTTGGGAAGAGCCGCTCATGTTTGAGATGAAAGTAGAATGCGAAAACAATGCTCACATAACATGTGAAGACCCTTAATACATCGGTTAAACACACACACACACACACGTGTTGTAAATAGCAAAAATTCTCAAAGTTGTTTTAACAAAAAAATGCGTATGTTGGATTATGCTGCACTCCGCAGTGTCAGTATTTTGGTGAACACGCGTGGGCAGTAGTGGCAGTGTACGAACTGGACGGACAGGTTTGTTTTTGCGTCCAGCGAGCGGCCTGCTCAACACGCGTCCAGCGAGCGACCTGCTCAACACGCGTCCAGCGAGCGGCCTGCTCAACACGCGTCCAGCGAGCGACCTGCTCAACACGCGTCCAGCGAGCGGCCAGCTCAACACGCGTCCAGCGAGCGGCCTGCTCAACACGCGTCCAGCGAGCGACCTGCTCAACACGCGTCCAGCGAGCGGCCTGCTCAACACGCGTCCAGCGAGCGACCTGCTCAACACGCGTCCAGCGAGCGACCTGCTCAACACGCGTCCAGCGAGCGACCTGCTCAGCACGCGACCAGCGAGCGACCTGCTCAATACGCGTGCAGCGAGCGACCTGCTCAGCACGCGACCAGCGAGCGACCTGCTCAATACGCGTGCAGCGAGCGACCTGCTCAATACGCGTGCAGCGAGCGACCTGCTCATCACGCGTCCAGCACAACATAAAACCCATTTGGGTGTGTACGTGCACATTGGCCACCCTGACGCTACAGTGCCTCCGGATCTTCACATTCCGGACCAAGTATCAGTGTTACACGCAACATGGTAATTTGTTCAACATGGTATCGAACATCCGGGTGTATCCCCCAAACAAGTTCTTTTTATCATTTCGAAATCAATATTGTTGCGTCAAAGCGGATTTCTAACGAAGGATAACATGAGGCAAGGTCTACCTAACAGGTCAACGAACAAACAACAGATTAGCATCGTCTCCTTTTTTGAGCTGGTTGAGATGGCCGGTACAACCCAGTAGAACTAGTTTTTACTGTGGGATTTAATAATGTACAATAAGAATGTATTTTTCCATCAATTTCTTGCCATCTGTTGTTTAAATTCTTAATAGACGAATTCACGTTTTCCCAAAGCGAGTACAGGCAAAATTATATTTTGAAGAGGAATAGGAGGCCTGGTCGACGACCGGGCCGCGGGGACACTAAGCCCCGGAAGCACCTCAAGGTAACCTCAAGGTATGTTTATATTAAAGAAATTATGGCCCGTCGTCTCGACCAAAGTTTTACCAGTTTTATTGTATAAAGATTCTTTTGCCCGCACAGTTTTTTATCTCTCTTGATAAGATTATCGCTTTAATTTTTAAATAAGATCGACTTTAGTGATGATAACCTGGCGAGGTTATTGACTTCTCTTAAGTTGATTTCCACGTCAATACTGATGGCTGATCTCAGGAATCTCCTGGTATGTGTTTCACCTCGAGGCTGGGCAGTTGGCAGAAAAATAATGATGTAGTAGACACTGTCAACCACACTTATCACCAGGCTACTGTGGCTGATTGACTTACTCGCTCCTTCATAAACTAATATCCAGTTACAGATAACTGTCAATAGTCTCCATCATTCTCCGATAGCTATTTACTTATATAATCCCATCTGCATCTTTTACAATAGCTGCCAAGTCACCAGTCATATGCTAGTGTTAACAACTCGTATCATTTCAACACACACTCGTACAACTCTTAATAATTCACATCTTATACATCCTCTGTCCTTCAAATTTTATTTTTGCCACATTAGCCGCGTTAACAACAAAATCTATTTCGTTATGATGTCACACTATTTATGTATGCACTTGATTAATTTGATTAATGCATTGACATTATATAAAAAATACAGTACATCCAAAATGCTTAAAAGTCCGTATTTTATGATAATTTCTACATCACCGCTAGTTTACAATTTGGAGCGTTCTTCGTATTGTCCAGTGTCCTCAGGAACGACCAGAGCTCTAGCCCTGACTTGACTGTTATTACCAATAATACCACTATTATTATTAACGAAATAACTAATGTTAATGTCAAATTAAACACTTGCATAAGCATAGTAGTGCACAGTTAATGTAAGAGCCTAAGAGGCAGGTGTTGACACGTGACCATATATGACGGTGAGAAGACTGACGGCAAATGGAAGGTCGGCGTGTTTTTTCTTTTTATTTGAAGGAAACGAGAAGAGCCGAGGCCGTCGACCGGTGGTAGTTCACCTGGCTGCCAAGTGGAGGCTTCACGGGCCTATATCAGTTTGGAGTTCCCTCAGCTGACTCACGCAGGGGGAGGGGGGGGGGAAGCCTCGTGGCCGTAACGTGACTCTGGATTTTCTATATGAGTTAATGGGGACTTTGTGGTTATATCTGGGATAACCCACAGGCATACTAGCCGAGAGACAACGTATTATACCAACATTCTTAACTACATGGTAAAGTAATATTTTCAAATTACTTGGAAAAATGTCAAATAGTAAGAACAAAGGCAACTGCAGAAGGCCTATTGGCCCATACGAGGCAGCTCCTATTTATAACCACCCAATCTCACTCATATAAATGTCCAACCCACGCTTGAAACAATTGATCCTGAGCTTGATCTAGTACAATCCCTGTGGATTACTGTGTGTAGCTGAGCACACACCTTGTCAGGGAGTAATATTCAGCTTGAGCACATTACCAACAGGAACTTGCTGACAATGTACTCCAAAACATTGTACTCAACAGGACGCAGCTAGTAACATTACACAACACTTCCTCCCGTGTTTTGACAGCAGTGGGCAAGAGACGGTAAACGTTGGTTTGTTTTGACTGGAGGAGTGTCTTTGTTGGAGTGCCGGGTTGGCACACATTCCCGACGACTTGATAGTGGCAAGCCAGAGTTCTGGAATTCCCAGTGCCAGGGGTGCCACGTTGTCACGTCGGGCACCATTCCTTACATCGATCTTTGTCAATATATAAGACAAATCACAAATTATGCTACAGTTATATTATACATCTTTGCTTGCGATGATTTCCCTTGTATTTTCGCCATTGAGCGTCTTCAAGATTGCAAGCGATAATGGCATTTGTTACTAGAGGTGTGGCAACGTTGGCGGACTGGTGCCAGCGCGTCTGGCTGGAGCGTCACGTACACATTCCTGGAGCGGGAATTCCTTCACAACAATGATTTGGCTGGACACTACGCTCAACTTTATCTTTGGAATTTCACTTTGTACCCTGAGGCACGCTGTTGGTTTAGATTCAGCTGCTCGGAACTACATTTCCATGTAGCACGGGGTATAGTGAGCCCGTAATTGAGATCGATTATTCACGGAGTAAATAATGATAAAAATCAGGCATTGAGCGTGACTTAGTGTCCAGGGCCACGGCTGTAGGGGATCTCCAGTAATAATAAAACACAATAGAGGCGGCAAATCTCGCACAGCGTTTCCTGTAAAATCTTAAAACTAAATAGCATGCAATAAGTTACTGACAAAGTATTTCGAGTTTAGTTGGTACTTTAATAAGACCTGAAGATAATTCTAGAGTGAAGTAGACTTTCAGCGTCTGGACCAGTCGTGTAACCCCCCCCCCCCGCTCCGTACCACTCTATTTACATACAATTGGTTAGATTGTAAAGTGTGCGGTCGTTCTCTTGGTCCTTGATGTTGCCAGTTGAAGGCCACACGTGCTAGTGTGTGTGGGGGAAGGGAGATGGGTTAAAGAGATGGGGTGGGGGGTAATGGGGCTGATTTTGGGGGGAGAGGTCAAGGCCGCTCCCTTCTGCGCACATCGTTAGGCTATTACCCCCCCCCCACCCACCCTTTACACTGCTGGCTCTTTGTCTACCATTAAACTCCACTATGTGTTTTCTCTCGCGAAACATAAGATTGCTATACCATGATCTTTTTTAATACTGTACCAACCCCAAGTTAACATTCAAATATAACATAATAAACAATAAAATCTATAAAGCAAAATATAATGAATTTTTCAATATCCGTGGCTGTTGTTGCCTGCTGAATGATTATTCCTTAGCAGTGTGTGTGTGTAATGTGCACGAATAACCCACAGGGCTCTTTACCCACGTCTTCTAAAAAAAATAAAATAAAAAAAAAAGATACGAAAATATAAATACTACATGAAGAAGTAGGCGACGAGAGTAATAAATTCAATAATAAAGCGGGAAAGCTGAAGAAAAAAATCTACGTAGGTGAAGAAACAGGTTTAGGGTGTTATGCCGAGGTAAACGTGTAACAAAATATTAAATATTTTTCAATCCATTATTGTCACCCCTAAGATATGAAAGCATCTTTTCACCAAAACCTAATATTGTGCATTCTCATAAGATGGTCAATAAAAGTTGCACTACTCGTGTATATAATCAAGATCTTCTTTTGCAGGTGAGTGGTGCAGTGGAGAGTACCAACGGATGGGGCAACGTGGACGACCTCAGGATTGGTGGCGTGCCAGTGCCTATGGCGATGCCTGTCCCTGTTAATGATAACAATCCCTTCAATGCTGACCTCTACTTCTAAGCCCATCGAGGACCTGAGATTGGCTGCACAACTTTTGAATCAAGACATGATCAAAAATGCTCATGCTATGAAGCATTGCTATTGACCTCATGTTGACCTATACACAGCTTTTTCCAAGCGGAAAGAAAAGGCCCTATGAACGGTGCCTTTGCTCGTGTGGTATTGCAGTAGGCCGTGGGGGCTCAGAGCCAGTGAGTGACACTGTGGGGCTCGGTGCAGGAAATGGTGCCTTGGATTTTACCTGCTTATGCTTTTCTCTTGAGAAGCTAAACTGCTGAACTCCATTGGATATTTCGGTCCCCTTGCATTATGCGGCATTCTGGAGCTCAGACTGCACGAGGTGTATTACCTTGGAAACAAGACACACTGAGAGACATGTGATAAAGTGGAATGAAAAATTGAATTAAAAATCAATTGTTGACGTTTTGGCTACCTTGAAAGAATTATATGGCATAAAATGTTCATACAGATTATTCTAACCTTGCTGTAACAAACATTAGTGAGCATTTCAAGTTAATTTCTCAAAGAGGGCATATGACTGTCTATCTGTGATCTCAAATAATGGGGTTAGCTTTGAACAGAAAATGTAGGAGTGGAAAACTGTAATTGTTTTGGGCAGTTTGGAAGCCTGGAGTATTGTACCTCACTGTCTTGATGGGAAGGCAACTTTACATTTCTCAAATGTATATCTGTATTTACAGACTTTGGACACGACTGCCTGCTCAGTAACTGTTTTAAGCCGTGCTCTTTGATTTTTTTTCATAAGTTTGATTTTTCAAGCTCCATCAGAATTCCTTATCAGGCAGAGTAGATTCAAATGAAACTTGTCAAGTTGTCCTGTATTCTCGTAGAGAAGCACTTGTTTTCTTGCCTCGCAGCTAGAGCAGACAGTATATCCATTTAGATTTGAAGATCCACTGCACAAGCTGCATGCGTCATGGTATATGAGAGTGCATTGTGATATTCAACAGTTCAACATATTCATTAGTGGGCCATAAACTTGGCATATTTTAAGATGGAAACATTGTCTTAACAAATATTTAGGTTATTTAAAAGTATAATAATGTAATTTATATTAATCCTTTCACCAAAATGTTTAAAAATTATACAGATAATACAATATATGGTAATTTTCAATTTATATTACACTAATCCTTTAATTAATTTGTTAAAATTTCCATTTCAATACTTTGAGAGAGTACTGATAGTCATAGTAAAAATTATCAGGAACATTTTGGTATATCATAGGTAAGGTATTATGCTGTACTGATATTTTTCAGTTACCACAATGCATCTCTGCCTAGCGCAGGTCTAATGACTTTGATGATCAAAAAAAAAATGTTAGGAGTGGCATTACCTACAAATATTGTGCCAGTTTTGATGTATATATATCGTTCCTTCATATCAACAATACTGTCATACTAGAAACTGAATGGTTGTAGATTTAGAGTGCACTGCCTTTCTACTTCCAAATATTGACCTTTTGTATGTCAAGGTTATAAATTCTAGATGGTTAAGGCAGAGTGTATCTTGTCACACTCATTACAATCAACATTTAAATAATGTATTTACATGCTTGAAGAATTCTTGGCAAGTAATTAGAATGCCCAGGTTAGCCTAGTATAACAAAAATTTTACTAGGGCAAAAAGAGTTGGCACGATATAGTTTAATACAGGTACTGTAGTTCTATTTTTGCCATCAGAGTAAATATATGTGGTTATATATACTGTTATGACATATGGTACTGCCACTTAACTGTGGTGTTTATCCTCTCAACATGACTGCTTATAAAACTTTGCCTTGGTGCCCAGCTCAACCCAGATACAAGGCTTTCAAACTACATACATCTACATTTATATTCTACATAAACCTGGATCTCCACATCAGTGCTACGCCGATTAGCACTGACGTGGTGTCCAATATGTGCGCCCAGAGCTGTGGTCACTTCCACCTGAATGTTTTCTGTGTTAGTTTGTGTTATGCCTCTTCATGATGGGACTAGCGGCTGCTACACTGCTGGTTAATGAAGCTGTTTCTGCAGCTGGTGGTGACTGCTGTTGATGCCATGGGTGTTTGTAACTGATGGTTGCCTTTGGCGAGTGAAGCTGTTTTATTGCAGCTAGTGGCAACTGCTATTAATGCCATAAGTATTATTAATTGATAGTTGCTGCTAGTAGTGTGAAACAAGAAATAGTTGTCCCAGGTAATGGTTACCACAATTGTTGTTGCGAGTAGTAGAGAGCAAGATGGATGTCTTGTCACATTGGCAATCATCTGATTATTACTGTGGTAGCACAACTTGAGGGTTGCATCAGTTATATTCCTTAACTCTTTCTTACATTGTCCTGTAAATATTCTTCTGTATATATTGTACAATTGTCACGTCTTAATTTGTCAGTGTAATAAAATTTATTTATTTAATGTTTTTATTCTTAAAATTACCCCCATACTTTTTTAAGCATCTGTCCATCTTAAGTCTCAAAATCTGAAGAAGTTGACATTAATATATTGAACCTTAAAAAAAATTGTATTTTTTACCTTAAACTACAAAAAAATAAATAAATGTCTAATCACCATATACAGTAATGACACCAGAATCTATAGATACATCACCCTAAGGTTCAAATCTAGCCATGACGACTGGGTGCCAGAGCTTACACAAAGCTCCAATTAAGTGCCACATACATGGTGTGACACACAAAAAGAATACTCACATCATAGAACTGAATTCTATGACCAGGCGACAAAAATTAAGCAACAGAGAGAAGGGTGTGCAGACTGCATATTTTTGGATTGCCAGAAAAGAGCAAGGGCACCAGTGGAATCTCACAGGGTTCAGTCCATGGACCTATCCCGTTTCTGATACAGTATATGTAAATGATCTCCCAGAGGGAATAGATGCATTCCTCTCAATGTTTGCTGACGATGCAAAAATTATAGGAGGATTAAGCCAGAGGAAGATAGCAAGAGGACCGAGACAAACTGGAGGAATGGTCTAACAAATGGCTACTAAAGTTCAACCTAAGTAAATGTAAGGTAATGAAACTAGGTGGAGGGAACAGTAGGCCAGACACAGGGCACCGAATGGGAGACAAAGTCCTTAATGGAAACAAAGTTCTAGGAGTTGATATGCTGAAGCCCACATGAAAATATCAGTGGCGTATGCAAGGCTATTTATATTAACATCAGAACTGCCTTCAGGAACCTGTGTAAGGAACCAGTCAGAACCTTGTATACCACATGTAAGACCAATCCTGGAGCATGCAGCTTGTCAGGCACAAGACAAAGCTGGAGAAGGTTCAAAGATATGTCCCCCCAGACTAGTCCCAAAACTCGAGAGGTATGAGTTACGAGGAAAAGCTGCCTGAATTGCACGTCACGTCACAGAAAGACATCATCACAAAATTCTCAGGGTAGATAAGGACGGTTCATTTAATATGGATGGTACACACACAAGGGGACACAGGTGGAAACCGAATACCCAAATAAGTCACAGACATATTAGAAAATACTTTTTTCAGTGTCAGTAGTTAGCAAATGGAATACATTAGGAAGTGATGTGGTGGTGGCCGACTCCATACATAATTTCAAATGTAGATATGGAGCTCAAGAACCTGTACATCAGTAGATTGACAAATTGAGAGGCGGAACCAAAGAGCCGAAGTTCATCCCCCGCAAGCATAACTAGGCAAGTACAGTTTGTATGATCTTTCATGGACCAGCTCACCTCTCACTAAATATTCACCATGTAGCAACTATATTAAAAAGTAATATACTTGCTCCAAATTCTCCTTAGCTTAAGTGCAGATAATTTGATGTTCTTAATTCCTCATAACCTATCTCTAAGTGTTCCACATTCCAAGAAGTTCCATGGAATGTGGAACCTAGGTTCACTAATTACAATTCCCAAGTGTGCAATTAATTTCAATTAATATCTTCCCAACCTGCTAGATGTTGGTCATTCTGGCCAAGGTGAGAAGATTTTAATGTAAGACGCTGTATGCAGAATCGAGTCAATCTGTACTTGTTTAGTGATCCAGTACAGATGCTCAAGATACACAGCACATCTTCAACACTCACCAGCAACAATGTAAGACTCGAGACCAGTTCCTACCCTCGCAAGACGCTTGTCTCGCTACAGAGCAGCCAGCCAGACTCCGGCCACAATGAGTTTCCACACTCTTGACCAGCACATGCTCTTCGACTCCGCCCACATTCAGAGCTCAACGCTGTAAGCTCTCTTCCTGCATCCGAGCTCTCTACCCCCAGCCTCACTCAAGCCCTCTGCCCTGCTCTAGTCAGCAATCAGCTGCTGACATTGAAGATTCTCCTTTACCAAGATGAAGATCGGTGACTTAAGCTGGAAAAACAAAAGCGAGTCATCAGTGCTGGCAATCAATCGGCTAAAATGTAGAGAGGCTCTTATTTCTTTTAAGCCTCGGTTCTTCCAGGAGGTGAAGGAATACACTAGGGATAGCTGTGTGGCATTGGAATGTTCAGAGATCCCTAAGCCACGGACAGTCATAAGTCACCTTTGGAGGTCAAATGCTCGCCTTGAGCAGCGTAGGTCTGCTTTGGCTTGCGTGTTCATTTGGCAAATAGGACAATGGTGCACTAACAAGCCTACAACCCGATTGGTCCACATGAAGGAGCCAAACGTTAGTAAGCAAAAGGAATGCTGGTGATAGCTTCCTGGTTCTGTTTCTTGAGCATTGGCTTGTGAGGGGATCTCTGTAAACTTAACAGGCTTCTTGTGTAACAAAAAGAAAATTTTTGTCATAAGAATCAAGCAGAGTTGCATGATTTCAGTCTAGTGCTTCTAGTCTTTGCTGCCCTCTACAGCGTGCAATGCAGGCCAGTTGCAAGTGATCATCAGAGGGTAACAGCCGGCTATATCACGATCACCCAGTTATGCATTACATCCAGTCAAGAAAGATGTCGACATCTGAAGCTCATCTTGAGATAAATAGTGATTGAATGGAGAAAAAAACACTAATCACTATTTCAGAACAATAAGATCTTTTAAAACATTAGCCTATAGTCCCACCTACTTTTTTATTTATTACAAATTGTCATGACACTATTAGGCTCATTTTAAGTTTTTTTTACTCTATGTTTTACCTTATTTTGAAGTAATGGAATGCTTTACCAAATTTGTGGTTTTACCGATCGAATAATTCCATAATGGGTTACAACCAGACTATATACTGTAGTACGGTACTGTACTATACTAGTCAATCGACAATTGACTTGAGAATGGTCCAGGACGGACCGAAACATCGTCGGCTCTTCACTGTCTAGTGTGTGGTTTGGTCAACATTTCAGCCACGTTGTGATTCCTCGTCTGTGTTCTATACTATATATAGTACATATATAGTATAGTACTATACCATGAATAGTAAAGTACTCTTTAACCCCGATTTATTCTCCTTTGGCACACAATTACTTTAAGAGCAAAGTTACCAAATACACCTTTACTATTCAATTTCAGGATGTTGGTTGAATGCCATATAATAAAGCAGTATGAAGTATGAAAAAGTACTTTATTGGCAATCGTGACAGTTACAGATGTCGAGAAAATATTACAGTATATTCTTATACACTCTAATTAAATTTCACAACACAAATCTGCCATATATTAGATATAGAACACCCCAATATCTCAATTACCCAGATCTGACCAACAATATTCTGCATTACAAAATACGATGACATTGTAGAGTACTTTGCCACAGCTACACCATTTAAGTTTTGGTTTCTGTAAAATATAAGTTCAAACTTGGGTATGTTGGCTCTAGGTAGCGGAGGTATTGCAGCTATTAGCAAAAGGGAGAATTGGGCACACAATTTCACAATCAAAGGCAGAAAATGGGTTCAAACCTTAACTGATAACAGTCCCCGAACAAAGTTATTGTCTCGTGTTTCCCCAGCAGACAAACGATGAATATTTTTCCAGTTACGGTAATTTTATCACAAGAGGATTATACAATTCCCAGTTTATTGATCAGTGCTACAGGAAACATCAACACTACCACTAGTGGCGATGGGTCTTACAGCAAAGTACAGATACCTTCCAAACTATTCAATACCTCATGTTAATACGAATCTAGGCTGGTCATAATTATGTTAATTTAACTAGAATGTGATTTTTAATGTCTAACAAGGTAAGCCTTGGGGTTTTATAAAAAGTTTTTTCTTAACGGAACCAACCCTAGACCGTTAATCACCATATAACCTACATTCATTCAACAGTTCCCGAGAAATGGCAAGTGTGGTTCCTTTTGTGAAAATTCGTTTTGTAATAATGAACGTCTGTAAAATACACCCAAAAATAAAATAAGCTTTACTTTCACAACTTTTAAAACTAAACTTGCCAAAAGCCCCATTGACATTTGCAAATATTGCTCTAATACCACCAGTGTTGAACAATGGTTCCATGCAACTTTCAAATAGTTTACATATACAAGACAGTCATGATAGGTACAGTTTATTAAAAAAAAAAAAAAAAAAAATTACAAGTGAAATGCCTTACATGACAACTAACTAGATATTGTACAAGTATTTCCAAAACTTAAAAAAAGTAATCTAGCAAAATGAGCAATTGCCTTAATTCTATGAAAAAAAATTAAATAACAGCTTCCTAAAACATTAATAAAATAAACTTTGAATTTCTCAAATGAAAGGTAAACATTTTTCTGAAACTAACAGAGCATGACTAATATTTACACCCTTAATTCTGTACACATCAATTTCTAGGTAAAATAACATCATTCCTCTAACACTTAATAACACCAATACAATTATGAAATTAACAAAATCCAATGCACCAAACTGAATTTAAACATTAAATAGAATCAAAAGATGTGAACTAACAGTAGTCATCAGACTTACCTTGAAAATATGGCCTTCCTCACTCGTTTTGACGTTTCAATTAATCCAATAGAGGACTATCAACAAAGAACTTTTTAGAATTCTGAAAGCTAACTTAACTCATTCCTGCTATCCCTTAAGGGTTCCCTTGACCAGTGGATGTTAAAGAACATTAGTGTAGAATGTATCGAATTTAAGCATGCATGTCAAGTATGGTAGCTTCAGCTCTCAAAGTAGAAATGTGAAAAACTGTTTTACAACTTACACCTATATTTACGACCTAATCCCATCTCAAGCTAGCATCATGAATAGAATCAGAATGAACTAAATATATACTCGGATAATGTAGACTCAAAATATTAAGTGTGAAGTTAGATATGAGTCCATTAACACTAAGGTGACAATCAAAGACAGAACCCAAGATGTAATGGCAAAAAGCAGTAATTGTGTGTGTTGTACTAGCTCTTGGACGTTAGTGAGCAAAGTGCATGATAAAATTGTGGCAAGTTTCCATTATTATCAATGTCACGTACTACATAAAATTCATAAATTTTCCTCAAATTAACTATACTCCTTTGCTATAAATTGTAAATAGTTTCCACTGAGCTATCATTTGGCTCATCACTTGAGGCTGCTGCTTCTGTACGAAACATTATATTTAATACTTTCAATTAACACACTAACAGCATTTTTGGACCAAAATACAAAATTTGATTTACAATCAACTACAATACATCAGTGTGGTACTAAACTTGAGACAGGTTCTGTTCCTGACAAGTGTATGCCTACCGCTTATGTTCTAGACTGGTCGCCCAGGTATTAATCCCTCCTCCTCCTCTTGCTCTGGGCCTCCTGAAAAAATGAAATTAGTTAAACACTGCAATCAAATTAAAGTAACCTAGGGAACATTTGATGAAAAGGAAATGAGAAAAAGTATGGAAGAAAAACATCTTTTATACCTTAATGCCAAGGATATCCATAACCAAACATATTACAAGAGATGAGCTAAATTAAAAATGGAAGGGCTGAAATTTGGGCCCACAGTTGTAAAACGGAAGGGGAAGGGGGGGGGGGGGAGAAGACTTAACGAGAAAACTTAAGTACTTTGAAACCAAAGCTCAGTTGTGTTGGCATTTGCCCATGTCTTAAAAACAGTAAGAACAAAAATATAAAACTATAGGCACACTCACTAAGTAAAACTTAAGACGTTATTCAAGTCAATTTCCAATTATTTTTAAGGAAAGCAAATATTGTTTAACAAATTTTCTGTATCATAAAATTGCTATTTATTACAAGCTGTATATTTAGTATACACATGAAAAATCAAGACATGGAGTAGAAGAAATGGATAACCTCAGAAGCTGTTCTCCTAACATGTCAGGATTAGGAGAACAGAGCAAGGAATGTATGACAAATCTTAAGTTCATGTGCGTAGGTTTACAAGTCACAAGAATCTTGTTGCCCAGTTCGTTAATTTTACTTGAATTGCAACAGTGATACAACATTCAATTCTTATCCAGTAAGTAGTAACCTTATTATAGAAAAGCATAGTGAACATTTCACAGCTCATAAAATAAAGTTAGAAATTATATAAGTGAAAAAAAATAAATAAAACTTGTGTACATACCACACCATTTCCATTTATGCCAGGCTTGTGTAAGCTTTTAAAGATGACTTTCTGATCATAAATATGGTTAGGATATTTAGATTCTGCAGAAGCATTCACATAACATACAACCGCATGGTAAACTTTGCCGAACAAAAAAATAAATATATACAAGTTCAGCTCATTACACAATTTTCAATACCTTGTCTGTGAGAATGATGAGAAGGCGCTTGAATACACCGATGAAATCTATGAAGAGCTCCACGCTATGCATAACATAATCCTTATCTCCATGCCTAACCTTCTCCAGAATATGCTGCGTATCATAAACTATGAAGCCGCACATAACAGCCAGTCCAATGTACAGGTGCACCTGAAAAAAAGAATTAAATGTGTAATTTTGAGTTCGTGCCAACAGCATGATACTGAGCAGACCACCAAATATTTAGGTGGCCAAGGCTGGCTTTTGGTCATTTGGATTATGGATTGCTTGTTGCAGAGTATCATAGGAATGTTGTCGAAGTGTTAACCAGTGAACATCAAGATCTAACTAGGGGGAAAAATTCTTAAAATCATAAAAAACATTAAAACACAGTATTGCCAGATTTGATTTTTAGTTCAAATCAAAGCATAAAACAGACTTAATATGGCTTTTGATTTTTGGGCCTGAAACTTTAATTAAAAAAAAAAAATAAAGTTATTTGTACGAATTTTCCCATTTATTGAAATCCTTCCAACTTCCTTAAAAAAAACTTAAGTGTGACCAGACCCTTCTCAGAGTGTCAATGGTATGCATTGTATCATGGAAGGAGGCATTTCTTGGTCAACATCATTATTAGTAGTATAAATTAAAGTACATCCATTTTGTGCATACTTTAACAAAGTCACTGAAATATTTTTTTTATTTTAAATGTTTTAAGAGTGTAATATGAACATAACTCTGCTAAACATTTTAAATTTTGTGTAGTTTACCAGCATTTCCCCAAAATAAAACTGTGGCATCAGTGCTCCATTAAGGCCAAGGTTGGCACTCCCGGGGCTCACACTATTTTCACTGCAATGTTGACTGCCAAATACCAGAACTTAATTGAATATCTTTGTTATTTAGCCTGTCAGACTAACCTGGAAGAGGAGACGGGATCCAAAGAAGATGTTGAGGAGGGAGAGCCAGAAGAGGGTGGAGAGTGCAGACAGCAGAGTGCCACCCAGGTACAAGAAGTGTCCTCTGGGAGCAAACAGGGCCGACAGGGAGAAGCAGGCAAACACCACACTTGTGCCCAGCAATGCTTGTAATATCTGAGAAAAGAAAATGCAGTTTGTATTACATGTTGAGGACATTTCCATTTGCCTTGAAAGTATTTATAATGGGAGTTCAGTCCCAATTATTTTTTAATAGAATTTGGATGACTATAACCACATTTAATTACACTACTAACCAAACTTAAATTTATGCAAAATTCATGAATAAGACATTGGAGATTACTGCTTGTCAATTGGTGTAACTTCCTGTACTCAATTTGTTTGTGATACAGCACTTACAAGCACAAGGTACAAAAAGTGAGAGATGTAGCCTCCAACGGCTAGATATTTGCCACCTCTGCAACGACTGTACCCACTAAAACATTCGTTATATGATAAAATATATTGCACAACTCACTAAGGCAGGATTGACTGCAACAGCAAGGTCAAGTAAGGGACCCAGATTGCAGCCAGAGAGGAATGCAAAGGTGCCAAGAAGAGAGAGACGCTGCAGTTGGTTCTTGCCGTCGTAGGGGGTCAGTACAAGCCATAATAGTGCTCCTATGGCTCCTATACCAGTAAGAAGACCGGCTCCAATGAGGGTGCTAAACATGTGAGCATAGCCACCTGCCGAGGCCGCAATGGTGGCCAGTGTGAAGGTGGCGTAGACATTCTTGAGGTGTTTTCTCACTGGTGCTTCACTGAAAATACCATTTAAATGATAACTAGGAAAGGTTCTAAGCTCGGTAATAACAATACTGTAATAATATTTACAATTTTGTCTAGAAATTTGCAATTACAGTAAAATAAAAATAGTAACTCATTAAAAAAGGAGTATAAATATGCAGTCATGATTTAATACACTTCACATAGTTTTTAATGTTAACACATGTGTGTAATGTGCTTACTCATTATTATTTATTTGAGTTATGTATTACTTGGCAATGCTAGAAAGGCACCAGCTGCATATCCACTTTGTGGACCCGCCTTACTATTACTACCATTCTTTGTGCGTCGGACAAGTGCTTGCATCTCTTAATCACTGCATCAGCCATGAGTGCCACTAACTAGGTGGTGTTATTTTTATCAGTACAGGTTGGGCAATTTTTTTTTTTTTAATACATATAAAATCCATTTCTTAACATACTGGGATGAAATTTTAACGATGCAGATGCCAAATAACGAGAGATTTATTTAACAGTTTTCATTATATGTATTTCATATTTCGATGAATATTTTTGTGCACCCGGCCCCTTAAGAGGGTAAACCCAAGTGCCCCATTGTAGTCCTTGATACCCATTACCAATTAGTGTAATTGGTAATCAAACATTACTCATGCATTCACTACATGTTTAAAATACATTAATGAATTGTAATACACAATCTACTCAATTTTTATTACCCAAATTGTGCTCCTTATACTTCAACATGCATAATTGACATTAACTGTAGATAATGTTAGTAATTTTATTAGGCTTGATTACAGTACTTACATAAACTGTACTTCAAATCATAGATACACTATCAGTGTTGCCTGAGCAGTACCAGTCACCAGGTTTATTGCCAAACTGAGCTACTTAATAAGAATACCTTTATTCTTTTAAAAAATAATCATTGAGCAGTATGTTTACCACCTTACTACACACCATCTCAAATACAGGTACTGTAAATCTCAGGTTCTGTTAAGAATTAATAAGCTGTTGCCGAGCACCTCTCTAGTAATCATGACCGCTAGATTACGACCCACATGATTTCACTCTTCTTGGATGACTATTAAATATAAAAGTGGCAAGTTACATTTCCTTCTTTATGACACAGAAGCACCTCATCTGAGTAGAGAAGGAAAACAGCAGAGTTTAGCACTTCGGAGATCTATTAATGCAATAAATAAATGAACAAAAGTACAAGCAAATGGCAAGAATTTCAAACATACACTACTATGCAACTGGGGTCTCGTATTTACAATTTTAAGCGTACAGTATTGCATTACACTTATCAGTATGACTCTGCTGTTGTCATACTTGTCTGAACCAGATGAGTTTAAAGTCAGTGTGTGCCTAGCTTGGTAAGCAGATTAGATTATTTTTATCAAATCATATAAATGCAGAATAAAACTGCTTTAGGCAACAAAAGGTAATAAACAAAATGACATTGAATAAAATAATTGGATACAAATTGCACTCTAATTATTAGAATTCAGCATTGCATCCACTAGCAAATAGCCCACTTTTTGCAGGTTTTCACCACCTAACAAATGTACTTATTTTATGAATAAACCATACCTGCCATAGTCTTTTTGGGTTCAGAGCTCTAGCTCCTGGTCCAAACTTTAAACAAGAATGAACTAACCCAATTTCTGTTAACCCAACAAGTTTCTTTGAACCATTCTGAACTGTAATGAAAAATTAATTGGTGCATGAAGCAAGCTATAACTATCCCCAATAAATGGATATGGTAGGTTTATATTTTGCAGTAAAAACAAAGCACATTAAATATGCCTCTGCTGTACACTAGCTATAACAACTGCATGCATATTTTTATATTATATACATATTATATATATATATATATATATATATATATATATATATATATATATATATATATATATATATATATATATATATATATATATATATATATATATATCTATATATGATATATATATATATATATATATATATATATATATATATATATATATATATATATATATATATATATATATATATATATATATATATATATATACACACACGCACACATATATATACAGTATATATACACGTGTCACCTATGTGTTGTCACGAGGGCCTTGTCTGACGTTTTTAAAACTTTTCCGGAGGTTTTTAAAACTTTAAAATGACCAAATTACAGTATCCTTGGTGCGGGCCGCAGGTGTACTTGCAGAGGGTCGCATGTTTGACACACCTGACCTATAGGCTACTTCCCCATTGGTGGCGGAACAACAAATGTGACTGGTCTATTATTTATTTATTTATATATAAGAAAGGTACATTGGGTTGTGAGAATACAATACATTGGTGGACCTACTGTCTTGTAAAGCCACTAATATACACACAAGTGTTTTCCCACAGCTCCTTAAGTCTACAGCAGACTAAAATTTCTCCTTTTTCTAGATCAAGGGAAAGTTTCTTAAACATTAAGGGAAGGAGGAAGTCTTTAAATACGGCCCCTCCCTCCCTCCCCCCTGCATTGGTTACATAAAAGGAGAAAACCTGTGTTTCAATCTTCAGGAAGCAGTTAAAAAAGGAATACAATCATGCAATAACCTAGACAGCCTCGAGTACTATCACTTTGTGGGCGAGTACAACACTACTACTCCTGGGCCGGGCTTGGGGGCGTAGAACAACTCTCACAACCCCATCCAGGTACAATCCAGGTACATATACAGACGACAGACAGGTGACTGACAGCCGTCAATCACCTATCTGTCGACTGACGGCTGTCAAGTCTCCCCCGTCAACTAGAACCACAGAGATAATACCTCACACCAGTAGTGTGGCCACCTCTTACCCAAAATTATATATATATATATCAAATCCAGAGAGAGAGGCGAGGCCTCGAACCCGGGCACCAGAAGTGACGACCCTTATACCCAGTGGGTACGACCCAGTCACGTAGCCCACCCCGACACACACACTCCCCCCTCCCTCTCCCTCACTCACAGGTTCTCCGTGAAGGTGTGACCGATTCTCTGTAAGTTAATGTTCATCTTAGCGACGTGTGGCGTGAGATAAGGCGTCGCGGAGGGGAAGCACAGGCGAGATAATACTGCTCGAGACGACTCCCTTCTTCTGCTTCAGACAAATGGCGACTCTCTCTCTCTCTTATCCTAAAATGTCCATCAGCATTCAACCTTCTCTTCGCCTTGAGAATACTTCAATTCCTCCGTCAGACACTCGTAATAAATTCCGCCTATGGTAGCGAGGTTTCTAGAGACGGTGAAAAGCAATGGGTGCTGTAATATATATTTATTTCCTAGTATGTTTGGAGGATTTACATTTGAGGGCTCAGTTACGTCATCAGTGTCCGCTTCTCTGAACTTCGACTTGGGTAGTCGCTACTGACGGGTATAGGTATGTTTTATGATAAGTTATTGTTATGCAATATGCTTGTAATGTATAAATATTTATGTTTAGTTTTATATCTAGGGGATATGTGGATATAATATTGGATATAAGTAGTGCGTTATTGACGAGAAAGCTGAGAGGAAGAGGTATACGAAGACGGATGAATGACTCATACTACGACTCGACGTGGCGATTAAAACGCGCTAAATTTTAATACTAATATTTTTATATATAGAAAATATAGACATAATATAAATAGATGTAATTTATATAGACGTATACAACTTCAAAACAACTTGTATTAATATTCTCAACACGCCATACACATATACACAATCCATGAATTCATAAACAGTGTTTCATCCAGTTTTAATATTTCAAAGACGAAAACATTTGGGCAAAACGGAAAAGCAAGTATGACAGGAAAAGATAAGGATGCTTGCATCATTTCCCCAGCAGTCAAGACGTCACCACACCTCACACCTCCTTCACCACTCATTTTGCAACACGTCCAACCACTTGGGCTGGACGGTAGAGCGACGGTCTCGCTTCATGCAGGTCGGCGTTCAATCCCCCGACCGTCCACCATGTGGTTGAGGCACCATTCCTTTCCCCCCGTCCCACCCCCAAATCCTTATCCTGACCCCTTCCGTGTGCTATATAGTCGTAATGGCTTGGCGTTATTCTCCTGGAAATTATATTCCATTCATTTTGAAAAGCTGTGCCTATTAGTGGATTTAGGCATAGTATATATATTAGCTCTGTCTAGAAATCCAACATGCTGTTTGTAACTCATTTATATATGTACTTTTACCTGAATATAAATTATTATTATTATTATTATTATTATTATTATTATTATTATTATTATTATTATAAAAATAATATTCAGAGGTTATAAACAGCTGCTGACCCCCGTTATAAAGAACGTGCCGTGAATTGCAGAGCAGGGAAAAATACCTGAATATATTTATTTATTTATATATATACAAAATATACATTGGGTTTATGAGAGTATATAGCACTGATGTTTTTACATTCTTATAAAGCCACTAACATGCATAGCGTTTCAGGCAGATAATGTTGAATATTAGAGAGCATATAATGGATCCGTTTTGCGCTACCGCTCACAGGAATGTGCAAATTCTTGGTGCAAATGGAATGCACTAGGAAGTGATGTGGTGGAGGCTGACTCCATACACAGTTTCAAATGTAGATATGATAGAGCCCAGTAGGCTCAAGAACCTCTACACCAGTTGATTGACAGTTGAGAGGCGGGACCAAAGAGTCAAAGCTCAACCCCCGCAAGTACAACTAGATGAGTACAATTAGGCGAGTACAGGGCGAGTATGGGGAGTGCACAATAAATTACCGCTCACAGAATGAGTATGGGGTGCACAATAAATACCTGTTAAGAGATGAACATTCTAAAAACAAGCCGATGGTGGGACCAGGTATCAGATTCTTGTTATATTAGTTACGCCTTTCAAAATTTAATTTTCTTTATTACAAACTAAATTTTCTCGATAATATAACGGGTAACTAAACAAAATTGTGGTAAGAGGAGTGATCTGACCTTTTGAGAAAGTTGTCTGAAAGGATATCCTCCGAAATTCCCATTGTCGGGGATAGGGGGAGCTTGTACCATGTATCAAAGACCCCTTAGGTTAACTACTGACCTTCCCTTGGGTTCAAACCACAACAGTTCTCTTACTCCCGTGTACTTATTTACTGCTACTTGAATAGCGGCATCTTTACAAGCTATTCATGTCCATGCCACCTCTTGGGTGGCTTAATCTTCATTAATCACTCAAACAACAGCGGCATAGATCAACTGTACTACTGTTTCTATATCGTCCGGAGATTGAACCCGGTCTCTCGATTGTAAGACGAGGACGTAGACTACTGATTGATTGATGAAGATTAAGCCACCCAAAAGGTGGCACGGGCATGAATAGCCCGTAAGTGGTGGCCATTTTAAGCCATTACCAGTATCAATAGATGATACTGAAGATCGGTGGAGGTGCGACTGCACCCAGCGTGACGGGAGATGTCTCCCGGACCAAGTGGTGACCAGATGACGTAGACTACTGTGGTACAGTTCTATAAGGGGCGCTGCCAATATAATCACATTCATCAAGCACTCTGCGTGGCACTTGGACACAGTGCTACGACCAACTGTGCAATTTGGATACAATGGGAAGCTCGCCCCATGTCTGGTGCTCTACTTGTCTCAGATATAATAATTTGTTTCACAGCACTGTTTCTACATTCCGGGCTATTCATGTCCGCGCCACTCCTTGGGTGGCTTAATTTTTGTTTTGTTTAAGATATATAGAAGAATTGTTACATTCTTGTACAGCCACTAGTACGCTTAGCGTTTCGGGCAGGTCCCTGGAATACGATCCCCGCCGCGAAGAATCGTTTTTTCATCCAAGTACACATTTTACTGTTGCGTTAAACAGAGGCTACAGTTAAGGAATTGCGCCCAGTAAATCCTCCCCGGACAGGATACGAACCCATGACAAAGCGCTCGCGGAACACCAGGCGAGTGTCTTACCACTACACCACGGAGACTGACATCTTTAGACTAATATTTATCAATCAATCAATCACTGCCGTCAGTGATTGATTGATCACTGCCGTCAGTGATTGATTGATCACTGCCGTCAAAATCGTCAATAATTTGAAAATTTTTGGAACCTCATAAGTGAGAATTTTGCTTGTCTGAGAATTTATTTTTTTTTCTGTTGCTTCGAGCGTGAGATTTTAGTTGGTTTTGGCGATTCGTGGTAAAAAATTGTCATTTTTTTAACGGTGTTAGTGCGAATTTTGATAATTCTGTCGGGTTGATAAGACAGAATCCACAGGGTTAAAAAAAATCTGAACATCAGTCTACTGAAAGTTGAGAGACTGACCCGAGCGCTAAAGCTGAACCACCAGAAGCACAAGCTTGAAGGGAAGTACTCACAACGCGGTGCCATAAGGTAAGCGAGCAAGGAACGACTGGTAACTTGTATCTGTCGTGGCTGAGACAAGATCTGACAATTAACTCTACAGTAAGCTACCGTAAGTTCAACAAGTGGTCAGCTCTCAACCACCACCTGCAACACAACAGCATCACATGTTCGACAGGTGTTCAACCTTCAGACACTACCCGCAACACATCAGAACACCCGTTCAACAGGAGCTCAACCCAATCACCACCAATAACACATCAGTACCATCTATTCAGCAAGTGTTCAACCAGCAACTACCAGCAGTTAGGGCGCACCATACTAAGAAATACTAACAACAGCTAAGAAATACTAACAACAGCTAAGACTATCAACAGTCAAGACATAGTAGCCTACTAAAATCAGCTTCAACTAAGTGTCAAAGAGATTGGATAGAAGTATAGAGTGAGTATAGCGGTATATACGCTATATATACGCTAAAACCTTTGTGGCCACGGCATCCTGGGAACTAAACGACACTGCATGCGGAAATATGCACACGACCCAACCCAAGAACCTGCCTCAATGCCTGTCGGAGCGAAAAGCCATCATTAGCGGTGAAAACGCGACTAAAGCCGATTTGGAGATGCGGTATTCGAAACCCGCCTGGAAGCCCCCCCCGTTTTAGACGTATAAGGGCTGCGAGCAGTGACGTTCTTGGCCCAGGAGCCTGGAACGTCATTCACTCCCTGGATTCCCGCCAGTCGGTTGAGCTCCGCGCGCTCTTGCTCCATCAGTCCCTCGCACTTCGGGCGCGCGTATCTTAGCGCACCGCCAGTGGCTGGATATTGTCACTTGGTTAGCGCCGTTTCTCCTTCGTCCCGCGTAAGACTCGTGCAAGCAACTCCCCCCACAAGATCTTCCGAAAGACTATCGTCAGTTGTTCCACGAGTAGTGATAGCTGTTCCAGAAGTAGTATATGTTATTTCAGGACTATTTTCGCCTGTTGCTGGACCAGTGTTGACTGTCACAAGACAGAGTCAGACGCCCACAATCAGTGTCGACTACCTCAGGAGAGTGTCGACTACCCCAGGAGAGTGTTGACTACCCCAGGAGAGTGTCGAATGCTCCAGGAGAGTGTCGACTGCCACAGGAGAGTGTCGACTACCCCAGGAGAGTGTCGACTGCCACAGGAGAGTGGACTTTTTCAGGATCAGCTACATTCCCACTCTCTTTCGTGCCTGGCCTTTAGGCTGGGGGGTTGTCCGAATACAATGACCAACACGGAGAGAAGTAGTAAGTGTTATGTATATGTACTATAGAGGTTTATCCGGCGTTGCCCGGGTCTGTCTGTCTGTGTCTCTGTCTCTCTCCTTCTTTCTCCCCCTCTCTCTGTGCCCAACCACTTGGGCTGGACGGTAGAGCGACAGTCTCACTTCTTGCAGATCGGCGTTCAATCCCCGACCGTCCAAGTGGTTGGGCACCATTCCTTCCTTCCGTCCCATCCCAAATCCTTATCCTGACCCCTTCCCAGTGCTATATAGTCGTGGTGGCCTGACGCTTTCTCCTCATAGTTTCCTTCCCTTCTCTCCCTCTCTCTCTCCCTCCCTCCCATTCTTCCTCCCTCCCATTCCAACATTCTTCCTCTCTCTCCCAGTGTACAAAACATGCTCGGATAATGTTGAGTGAACACTATCGACGTTGAGTCTTTGTAAATACCCGCCAAGAAATAAGTTGGAAAACATTCTATCGAGACTCATACTCCCATTTCAGACATCAAAGGGCTCGTTGGTTGTCGCAATAGGAGTCAACCCTTCTTAAAGCAGGGCATGGGAGTCCATCCCAACCACCCTATGACACTCGCCATACAATAACACATGACTTTGCAAAGTTTCGTGAGGCTAGCCTCAAGCGTCTGGGTCCCCCCAACTTTGAACAAACAGTGCTAAGTGAAGAGGCATCGGGTGTAAGGAAACTTGCCCAAATGTTGTCCCCTGTCCGGGAGTCGAACTCGGGTCCAATCGGTTATGTGCCAACTGTGCTATACACTGCCTTACAGGTGTGTGTGTGTGTGTAGTTACAGGATGAGAGCTACGCTCGTGGTGTCCCGTCTTCCCAGTACTCTTTGTCGTATAAAGCTTTGAAACTACTGAGGGGTTTGGCCTCCACCACCTTCCCACTTAGCTTGTTCCAACCGTCTACCACTCTGTTTGCAAAATAAAACTTTCTAATATTTTCTGCACCTTTGTTTCCTTAGCTTGAGTCTGTGTCCTCTTGTTAGTGAAGTTGCTGGTTTCAGGAATTCCTCTTTGTCAATTTCGTCGATTTCTGTTAGTATTTTGTATGTGGTGATCATATCGCCTCTTTTTCTTCTATCTTCTAGTTTTGGCATATTTAAAGCCTCTAGTCTCTCGTTTATTTAGTTCCGGAAGCCATTGTGTAGCATGCCTTTGCACCTTTTCCAGTTTCATTATGTGTTTCTTGAGATTTGGGCACCATACAACTGCTGCATATTCCAATTTTGGTCTCACAAAAGTCCTGAACAATTTCTTTAGTATTTCACCATCCAGATAATAAAAGCAAGTCTGAAGTTAGAAAGCGACGCATACGCTCCTCTCACAATGTTCTTTATGTGTTTTAAATTAATATTTATGTGTGTCTATGCGTGTTATGTGTGTGTATGCGTGGGTTACCTTACCTTGCGGGTGCGTATAACACACGAAGAGTAATGTTATAACGAGTAATTACGAATTAAATAGTAGTTGAAATATTACTGAGCGCTTTCTTGTAAAGTTTAACACGTCGTCAGCGAAGGGTTGACTTGATATAAAAAACGGGAAATTATATTCTATGGCGGAAACTCGCCAGTTTACATGAAAGTACTTAATCTATACTGGGAATTGAGACGAGAGAGAGATCTCTCATGATGTACTCTTGGAAAATATTTTAAGACCAGTGTCCAAAACCTGCCAAATGAAATTACAACATACTGAAGTTAGAGATATGGTGGGATGTATACTATGTATACCTATGTAAAGTTGGAGCGTCATAGGAACAATTAAAGAAGACAGTTTACACATCAGAGGTCCACAACTCTCTGGCGACACATGTAAGACATTCACGGAAGAACTGTCGAGGACTGTCAAAGAACTGTTGAGGACTGTCAAAGAACTGTCGAGGACTGTCAAAGAACTGTCGAGGACTGTCAAAGAACTGTTGAGGACTGTCAAAGAACTGTCGAAGAACTGTTGAGGACTGTCAAAGAACTGTTGAGGACTGTCAAAGAACTGTTGAGGACTGTCAAAGAACTGTTGAGGACTGTCAAAGAACTGTTGAGGACTGTCAAAGAACTGTCGAGGACTGTCAAAGAACTGTCGAGGACTGTCGAAGAACTGTCGAAGTAGCTGTCGAGAGAAGTTTCTGTTGGGGGTTACCGGATCAGCCAGGCGCTGATAGCTGTGTGACCTTGCGGGCTACAAAGTCAAACAGCCACATAGATCAGGCACTCACCAGGGAAGGCTGGTAACGGGGCATGGCTGTACCTGGACACACCGTTCGAAATCGTTCACAGGTGATTCTCCAATATAGTCTTCGACGCGGAAGGGGGAAGATTATCTTTTAATAAGGAGATAGTTGTCTGTCTTAAGAGTAATTTCGCCAAAATCGGTGTTAGAATAGCTGTCGCTAACAGTGATTTAGAACACGAGGAGCAAAAGGAATTCAATCGTCCTACATTTACTCTATTCATTTCTTAAAGCCATCTGATCACCGGTTATCTTCTCATCAGAGACAAATGGTCTCCGTCCTCGACTCACTATAGAGCGACCCGGGTTCATTCCTCCCCAGAGCAGGGCAGAAACGGTTCATCACCTTTCCTTTCACCTGATACCGCTGTTCACCAAGCAGTAAAATAGGTACCTGGGAGTTAGCCAACTGTTGTGGGCCGCATCCTGAAAGAGGGAGGTCAGTAGACAGCCTTAACTCTAGGGCAGAGGTCAATAAGCCTCACAGACTTCCTTGCCTTGACAATAGGAAACCCCCTACACAGGAAAATACAGGAATACACAGGGATATACATTGATTGTTATGATAAACCTCGTAGAGCCCTTGATTGTGGTAGCTGAGACGAAATTATACGAGTATGTATACTTTCATGTAGGGCTGGTATGCTACCGTATGCTGTAGGGCGGGTATAGTGCCATGTGCAGGTCATGATAGTCTAATGGTTCTACATCCCTCCCCCCCCCCACTCACACCCACCTTGGCCGGTTAGTGGTGGGACCACCAGAGACTATAATGGTCCAGTCTGGCGGCCAGTCACCGTGGTATCCGGCCGCCGCCACCATGCTAAAGCCGCTCTCAAATTGCTAACATCTGCCGCTGCTGTTGGCCGGGGCGCTGAACACCTGAACGTAACGGTGAACAGTGAACACAACAATAAACACAAAAGTGAGCACGGTATCGTAACAGTGAACACATTAACGTGACGGTGAACACAGTAACACAACAGTGCTCACAATGGTGAACAATAAAAGCAGCCGAGAGAATAACAGTGAACAATTATACATAACACCAATAACACAACGGTGAACAATGTATACAATAGTTAACAATGAACACAAAAAAGCATAACAATGAACGAAGCAGCAAGAGTGAATAACGAACAGTACTAAATATTGAATATAAGTGTAAACAATGAACAGAAAACGTGAACATCCGGGGAGTAGAAATAGCCTAAGCTACTCTATCTCTTTGAGATATATTTCTTTCTTGTCTCAATAAACATTCTTGAACTTGAACGTGAACATAACAGAGAGCAATAGTGTTGATTATTGATGCCCAAACACCAGACTTGGGCACTAAACCGACCCCGTGCCCAGGTAGTCCCAATCCATGCCCAGATAGCCTCTTCCTGTGCCCAGGTAGCCCCACTCCGTGCCCAGGTAGCCCCTTCCTGTGCCCAGGAAGCCCCACCCAGTACCCAGGAAGCCCCACCCAGTACCCAGGTAGCCCCACCCCGTGCCCAGGTCTGGTGTTGTATAAGAGAGTGTAGTTACAGGGAATACAATCACTGAGCTGACCAATTATCCCGTGACAAGACTCAGTTCCTGATCTCACAAAGACGGTGACTGTCTGTCTGTCTGGCAGCGTGACTTAGTGCTGGTGACGTCTTCACCCGTCACGTGAGCAGGGTGACGGGTGTGTGGGCGGAGGGCGAGCTGAGTGACGGGCGTGTGGGCGGAGGGCGTATGGGTTGGGCGGGGCGGTAATGCCTGGTAGATAAAGCACACTTATATTACTAATCTCATTACAGAGAGCCGTGTCATGTAGTCAGGTGTGTCAGGTAGTCAGGTGTGGAAGCTTAGTGGTGATTGACGGGGAGCAGGTGTGTGCAGGGGTGGTGGAGGTGAGTTCTGAAGAAGGAGGCTTAAAGTGGGTCAGCCAGAGGCTTAGGGCCCGCGCAGGAATATCCCTGTAAAAAAAAAAACAATAAAAGGAGTATCTTTGTCATTTAGTATTTCACATGTTGTGATCATGTCTCTCCTGGTTGATAGAAATTATTTACGGAAATTCCTGTCTTAATCCTTCCATCGTGGTCTGACACAGTCTATCTCTCCTTATATATATATATATATATATATATATATATATATATATATATATATATATATATATATATATATATATATATATATATATATATATATGTGTGTGTGTGTGTGTGGTGCAGGTCTCGTAAGCTCTCCTGTAAACTGTACACTGATGGCTTACACTGTTTACAAGAGGCGCGCGCGTGTTTATATTTACTATTTGTGTCTGAAGAATCGAACTATTAGCTCTTGGACCCCGCCTTTCTAACCAATCTAATTTTCCTGTAATATTTACTACATATATTTCTCTCTAACACACACACACATCCCCAGGAAGCAGCCTGTAGCAGCTGTCTAACTCCCAGATACCTATTTACTGCTAGGTGAACAGGGGGCATCAGAGTGAAAGAAACTCTGCCCATTTGTTTTCGCCTCCGCCGGGAATCGAACCCAGACCATTAAGACTATGACCCCCAAGCGCTGGCCACTCAGCCACGAGGGCCCCGTGACAGGTGTGTGTGTGTGTGTGTGTGTGTGTGTGTGTGTGTGTGTGTGTGTGTGTGTGTGTGTGTGTGTGTGTGTGTGTGTGTGTGTGTTTTCCTTGCAATACTTACAACCCTATTCCCCCCCCCCCTTCCATGTGATCTCATTCACTCCAATGCAAATTCTGTACCTCCACCCACTCCGTGACCCCAATAGCGCGCTATAAGCATACGGGATTGAGTCAGTTGTCATAATGGCAGACCTCCGGAGTCCTCCGCCCTCCTCTCTCCTGGGGTGGAACTCGGGTCTCGCTCCCAGCGTTGGGGCTGCCTCCCAGGGCGGGAACCGGTATGCTTAAGGAATTATGGACTATGCAACTGAAAAACTAAATGGAAGTAAATTTTAAACATGATGTATTGGTATGAAAGTAGCCATTCTTGAGTACATCAGTACCCCCCTTTATTAAGTACAGTGTGATTACCTTTAGTACATCAGTAACCCTTTGTTAAGTACAGTGTGTCTACCTGTAATACATCAGTAACTCCTTGTTAAGTACAGTGTGTCTACCTTTAATGCATCAGTACCCCTTGTTAAGTACAGTGTGTCTACCTGTAATACATCAGTAACTCCTTGTTAAGTACAGTGTGTCTACCTTTAATGCATCAGTACCCCTTTTTAAGTACTGTTTGTCCATCTTTAAAACAATAATACTCATTGTTAAATACATCAGCATTCACTTCAACGTTCTGACGCTGTATCAACTACATTTCTGTCTCCTACAGAATCTTCAAAATACATTCGCGGCCCCGTCAGTGGTGGCTATGGCGGGGGAGGACTATTCCCACCAACGTGTCTGATGGCGGTGCTCGTCCTGCAGGTGGTGCTGGCGAGGCAGGTGGCAGAGGCGTCCCTACCAACGATGATCAGGTGGGTGGTGTTCCTCCGGTGGAGGAGTGGAGTGCTTGTTGCTCCTTGAGGTGGGTGGAGGAGGAAGTCTTCCTGTAGAGGAGCGGAACGGATACATCTTGTCCATTTAATGATGGGGTCCGTCTTGAAATGTTTTATAGATGAAGATGAAGAAGGCAGATGCATTCATGTTCCTCTACGGGCTATTCATGCCCGTGCCACCTTTAGGGTGGCTTAATCTTTATCAATCAATCATCGTCATGTTCCTCTCGTGATCATGACAGCTGTGATATATTCCCCGGTAGTGGAAGACGTCTTCAGGTGGACGAAAGAACTTGTTTTTTTTTTTAGCGGTGGGAAAATTTAAACATATTGCCTAGACCAGTAAACCACATTATAAAATATGGTTTTACAATCAACGCGGTTCTTGTCGCAGATATATATTATTGTCAGATAATTGCACATGTTGTTGTTGTTTTAGATTCAGCTGTTTGGAACAAAAGTTCCAAGCAGCACAGGCTATGGTGTACCCGTAGTGAGAGAGAGAGAGAGAGAGAGAGAGAGAGAGAGAGAGAGAGAGAGAGAGAGAGAGAGAGAGAGAGAGAGAGAGAGAGATTAAGCCACCCAAAAGGTGGCTTGGGCATGAATAGCCCATAAGTGGTGGCCCTTTTGAGCCATTTCCAGTATCAATAGATGATACTGGAGATCTGTGGAGGTGCGACTGCACCCTGCGTGACGGGAGATGTCTTCCGTGACCCGTAGTGGACTTTTCCATGTTCCTAAAGATGTCGGCAAGTTATATTGGTATATCTGGTGCTAATTTATGTAAAAACAAAATATTTGTTACGTGGAGGAGATAATATTAGTAATTTGGTGTTTTTATTAATTTAATTAGTAATTAACGTGATATAAATACAAATATATAATGAAGACGTCGTCCCGCAGGTCCAAGCTTGGCGACCTGTACAAACTGCGCAAGTCGCTGGAACAAGTCCCCGCACTACAGCTCGCGACCACCGCCGCACCTCCACCTCCACCTCCCCCCAACACACAGCTCAGGTCGGCGTCTGTGAGCGCTCTGAGCTCCGACGACGTGTACTCCGGGCTCTCACACCTCTTGAACAAGAACGAGCACTATCGAGGCCTCCCCGCCAGTGGGCTCGCCGCGAGGCCGCAGGAACACCTCAACCTGTTCTCTGAGGTGAACATGGGGAACTTTCCCGAGAACAGTGTTCACAACGAGACCGTCGAGGATGTTCTTCCGGGCGAGGACGTTCCGGAAGAACACTGGGCGAGGATAAAGAGTATTCTTGGCAACATGAAATCCATCCTAGAGCAGATGTACCCGGCGGAAAACAGCAACGAAAAAGTCACATTTTCCTTCATCGACAAGGCTATGGCCGTGGGGGACAAGGTGCACCTCCTGCAGCGTATGCAGGACACATTCGACAACGACCTGCTCGGGTTCCTGCGGAGCAAGTGGGAGAGCATCAGAGACACCGTGGTCAACAGCCATCCCATCCTGCAGGTGGCGACGTCGTCCAGCACGCGGGAGCTGGGCAAGCACCTGATGATGGGGGCCGTGCGGCAGCTGGGCCACCTCCTCCACTCTCAGGCCTTCACTCACCTCTCCGAACTGGACTTCGTCACGGAGCTCATGAGGTCTTCGGGCTTCAAGGACCTCGAGATCCACGAGGTGTTCAACCTGCTGGGGCTGCCCACCGACATCGTGGAGAATGTCATGCCCGAGGCCCGCCAGCTGGGCTATAGTAGCACGGTTGAGAAATCCGGTGGGTATGGGCATTCAGGCGGTGCCGGGGGCTACGGCGGCGGGCAGATGGGCGGCTACGGCCAGATGGGCGGAGGCTACATGCAGAGCTTCGACCCCTTCGTGCTGCTCGCCGGGTTGGCCTTCGCCACGTTCCTCGCCTACCTCATCTACCGCCTCCTGTCCAGCACCGCCGCCGGCCGGAGGAGGGAGGCTCCGGACATCTCCCTGGCGCTGGATCTCTCTGACCTTCCGGAAGTCGTCGGCAACTTGTACAACTGGCTGGAGAACACGGAGAACACTTACGCTGCTGACGAGAACACGGTGAGTGAACACTTAACGTGCCGCACAGGTGTTCAAAGAACACCTGTCCACCCATTCGCCTGTCAAGTCTCACTAAATTTGTGCATGTCTTAATATCTCTGGCAGGAGTCTCTATATCTGTCAGATTCACAATTGTGTTCTTTTCCTGATCGAGAGAAATATTTCAACCCAGGTTCCCTCTACCGTCTCTCACAGGCTGGGCATGAGACGAGGAGCTTCAGCCTCTCGGCCAACCAGCTGTGGACCAGCTTCCAGGTGGACCGGTTGTCTCACGCCTGCGTCAAGCGCTACATGTGTGACTACACCTCCGCCACCACCACAGCTCTCATGGAACCCGGCTCTGTCCTTGAGCAGCTGGCTCTGTGAGTCGTGTGTGTGTGTGTGTGTGTGTGTGTGTGTGTGTGTGTGTGTGTGTGTGTGTGTGTGTGTGTGTGTGTGTGTGTGTGTGTGTGTGTGTGTGTAAATTTAATTATCTTTCTCATAAAAAATATATAGAAATAAATACAAAAATCCCTCAAACGTTCTGTATTTAAACTAAAGATCAACACGTATCCAACAACCTTTTTTCCTAGCAACCAAAGTAACTCAAGCATGTCGTCTCAGCCTCACAGACTACCATAACGAGGTTCCTATCTGTTTACAGAACGGGCCTGGCGCAGCTGTTCGGAGAGGAGGACAGCGCCCCGCTGGTGGACAAGATCCAGTCCCAAGTACTCAATGGTCGGGACGTGCACTGCGACACCATCGCTCCCCAGTGCGACGACACGGCCTACCAGGGCGTACGCTCGCAAGTCGTACAGATCTAGGGCATCCGAAGAGCCCTCCTTCTCCCCCTGTAGCTGCATGGCAGTCTAAGAGACACAGGATGAGCGTCCTGATGTGAAGCACTGTAGGTCTGAACCACTAGTGTTTGGAGCATCTAAACTCGAGACTTAGGCTCCATTTGGAGTCTCAAGTGTTTACAAATAAGCGTACATCGTTCTTCACTCAAGACGGCGTCCTCGTCTACCCTGTCGTGGTCTTTCCCTTCGTCCTGCTCCTGCTACTGGCAAAGAAGCCAAGGGAGAAGGGGGGCGCGCCCCTCACTGTGCCTACTGAAGCAGGGTTCAGCGACACGCTTGTCATATAGCCTCAACTCGCACTAATTCTGCCCTCTTCCACGACTAGACGCTGTGCGCTCTCCTCTCCTCACATCCCCCCTTTGTTTTGTCGCTTATGTTAAACATGCGAACTAGTCTTTGCCTGAATGGCGGACTGAGGCTCATCGTCCGCCGACGATCACAGCTCCGAACCTCTGCTCAGTCGGTGTGAAGTTAGTGAGTGTCTCAGACCGCAGTTCTCACGGTTGTGCTGTAAATAAGAGTCATTTCTATACATCATTTAGATTTTCCTTGTCTGCCTGTGTCCCCCCTCCTCTGTCTCTCTCTCTCTCTCTCTCTCTCCTCCTTATCTCTTTACCTATTTATTTATATCTTATCTCTCTCTATCTCCGTTTCTCTCACAGTTCCTTTCACCTGATACCTCTTATCGCCAAGCAGTAAGGAGGTAACCGTGAATTAGACAACGGTTGTGGGTTGCGTCTTAGAAAACGTCAGTAGTTCCCCTCCCCCCGACACTGGAAAACCAAACCGTTTAATGTTACATATTAAAGATCCAATGATACGGACCGTAAAATTACAGTGCTTAACGTATTATTCAACTCACTGTACTTTCTGTTTGTAACGGTAACATTTTGTAACTGAGAAAGACAGAGGGGGGGGGGGAGTAGTAGACAGTGACAGGAAGAGACTAGGGGACAGATAGGGAGACAAACAGACAGAAAAGGAGACAAAGACTCCGAGACAGACAGGAAGAAATAGACACAGCCACCAATTGATAAACAGGAAATCATTTAAACAGGAAAGCAGACAGATTATCACGAGGGACAGAAAACATTGGACAGATACAGATATATATATATATTTCGGATAGACACATGCATTGGACAGATAGACAGACATGCATTAAACATTTAGACACACATTGGACAAACAGACAGACAGACAAACAGATACACATTGGGCAGATAGCCAGACAGATAAACAGAAATACATTGGACAGATAGACAGCCATTTCTTACATATGTAATGGTGATTGCTTGTTTGGTCTTCTTGTCAGCGTTACAACACATATTAAAAGATAACTTAAAGAAAGAAAGCGAGGAAAATAAATAAATACTATGACCTCTGCCAATAATAACAATAAGAAGAAAGGAATTAAAAATATTCGACAAAACCTTCGAGCATATAAACACTAGAAGGAATATCGCGTTGATTAGGTGAAGCCAACATTGACGTATGTAAACATACTCAGTAGGTCACGTGATTGGTGGCAAAAAGGTGAGAGAGAGAGAGAGAGAGAGAGAGAGAGAGAGAGAGAGAGAGAGAGAGAGAGAGAGAGAGAGAGAGAGAGAGAGAGAGAGAGAGAGAGAGAGAGAGAGAGAGAGAGAGAGAGAGAGAGAGAGAGAGAGAGAGAGAGAGAGAGAGAGAGAGAGAGAGAGAGAGAGAGAGAGAGAGAGAGAGAGAGAGAGAGAGAGAGAGAGAGAGAGAGAGAGAGAGAGAGAGAGAGAGAGAGAGAGAGAGAGAGAGAGAGAGAGAGAGAGAATGACAAGGGGAAACTATAAAGAATGAATAAATATGACACAATATTATTAAGTAAAAGTATACAATTGCATCATTTTAACTGTATATAAATTGTGCAGTTTTAGTTTACAAACTTCAAAGTGACTCCAACTAACAATGCACAAATGAAATCACAATAGTATTATGTATCTATGCGAAAACCTTTGGGTTTGGGGGTACCCAAATTAGACACTCGGTGCCCTACAAACTCAATGTGTTCTGTAGAATGTTGAGTTGTGGGGCTGTTAGGTCCATTGTGGTTTAGTGGGTATTTTTTTGTTTGCAGTGTATTTTCTACCACAGGCGTGAGCCATATATGCAAACCAGCATATATATATATTTTTTCTTCTGTCCTCCGTGGACAGGGTTAGAGATCTGCTAGACAATATGTTGTGCAGTGAGTTACTGAGCACTCAATCACAGGCGATTGTATTGCTGTTACAGTGGTAGCCAACATACATACGTTTACGGGCTCACCATAGCCCGTGCTACTTGGAACTTGGTCCGAGTAGCTGAATCTATAACAATAACAACATACATACGTTCTCGTCTGTGTTAGTGGGTATAATGCGCGTTTGTGAGGTGACCTGGCACGCAAGATGGATCCCATCTTACTGCTCCAGAAGATTTTCTCCAACTAATATATTATAGAAGTGCTTAAGGTGTCGAAGGAAGAGTTCACTGCTATATCCTATAGTAATATCCTTCAGAGTTTTAGGTTACACTTTCTTGCTGTCCACCAGTTGATTGACAGTTGAGAGGCGGGACCAAAGAGCCAGAGCTCAACCCCCGCAAGCACAACTAGGTAAACACAAACCCGACTACACTCTTCTACAACCCGTCCTCTCACATAACACATCGCATATTTTACGAAATCGACCAGTCCGCAAAAATTGCGACGGATTAGCACACATTAAAGCACCCTAAAATTGACGTTGTCTATGCATTGGCTTCGATAGGTTAGGTGGGCGGCTAAGGTTTGCACGTTTCTGCTTAGGCAAAACGGCTGCATTTTTTTTACGGGGCATCAAATCAAGAGAACGGCTGGTTGAAAACTCCTTGATACCAGACGCGTGTCATCTTGAGTTTAGAATTAGGCTACGAGCATCATGCTTCCTCTAGTTTGTATATACTCCTAGACCTCTGGTTATTGAGTGTGTATGGTAAGTTCATGACCTCTCCCATAGGCCTCGGTCCTCTGACCAAAACCAGTCACTTAGTTAACATGTATTTATCTATTAATTTATTTATAATTGTTAAGTGTACGGGTTGCAATCTATTTATTGCATATTCTTAATATGCCAAATGGAAGTCTGATAATAAAATGAAGGCATTAGTGACTTGTATTATTGTAACCTATGAAAGAGAGAGAGAGAGAGAGAGAGAGAGAGAGAGAGAGAGAGAGAGAGAGAGAGAGAGAGAGAGAGAGAGAGAGAGAGAGAGAGAGAGAGAGAGAGATACTAGCCTCAGCCCTCAATCTCTCTTCATGACAGACATATATATAATCCACAATCTAGATATTCACCCAACACCACATTGCTAACTTCTATTGCTGTAACATTTCCATATAATAAAACCCACCATAGTCTGACAACCACATCATGGTCTGACAACCCCACCATGGCCAGCCAACCACACACACACACACACATGTGAGTCACCAACACACCTTCACGAATGAATATATTCCAATCACATTTTATCCTGACCAAGGCTATCGTTTCAACACCTGCCTCTCTCCCGCTCTGCCTCCAACTACGACTCCAGCAGGTGTTCCGCTGTTATTACTCACAGTACATCTCGGGTGTTTAAACTGGTCGACCTCTCTTTACCATTCACACATATTTCACACACAATATATTTCTTCCGCCATAACTCAAATTCGACTTTTTGTTCACATTATTTCAAAGAATCTTTTCGCACATCCCTCAAAAACATTTTCCGGTAATTTGCATAACTATTTAACCTATCCAAACCTAACCTAGCCTATTCTAGCCTACCCTAACTTAACCTATTCCAGTTATCCTAACCTAACCCAACAATCAACTCATATTATTGCATTAAATCACCTCCTCGTCCAAAGTGGTTAGGGAACTACCCTTTATTACCCTAGTTCTTATCATATATCCCAATCCATATTCAGGTTAACTTACTATCCCCCATCATATAACAACTCCAAAGTCGCTAAAGCCCAAAAAGGTGCAGAAACTGGATTGATGGCGAGGCTACAAGTCACACCACTAACGGGCTATTCATGCCCGTGCCACCTCTAGGGTGGCTTAATCTTTATCAATCAATCAGAAAATGAGCTTTGTCAGACTGTCTCGTATACCATTTGATCACAACCTCACCGAGGTTGGGTTATTTCATGTTGATTTAATACAATCGCATAAAACTACCAACCGGAAACACCCCCCCCCCCACCCCCTTGCTATTTGCGGACAGGAAGACCTGCTTACAGCGACCTCCAACACATTATACCCGCTAGAAGCGGTGTTGGCGAACTCACATATTAAACGTTACATTATATCTAACGGTACAATAATAAATATTGAAGTTGTGGGGCTTAGATCCCAACAGTCCATTTTTTGTACGTTCTACCCCCCCTAGTGAAGTACTATAATTTTTGTATGTGAGGCTGCGAATAGCAGCGACTTATAATTATAATTATATATTCTAGGGATTCCACATAATTTTGACTCTAAACGCTTTATCGAATGTGAGTTAGTATTTTTATGTTTGGCTTCAGAGACAATAACAGAACATTTTGACGGGAAGGGATTTAGAGTTAGTAAAGGAGGATAAGGAGCTGGAGTCAAGTGTTATTTCACAGTCCTTACTGCTGGTCTGTGGTTGGAATGAGTGCCAACACGACAACACAGTGCCACGAAGACCACACATCACTACACCCCTGTACGGGTGACTGACTCACATACATGACACAGTGAGCTAGGCTAGATAGACCTTCCTTTCTCATTGGCCCAATGTTCGAATCGCGCTTCGCTAACTACTCTACCACATTACTGCAAGAACCCAAACACATGAACCCAAATACATACCCAAACTATACACACAATTATGATATATAATGTTTATATTGGGGAAAATGCAGTGTTTTATTATACGGAATGTAAACGAATTATGTTGGCTGTGGCTTGGGCGAGCACAGCCTGAGGGATAACGCAGCAACTAAGAGGAGCTGCGGTGTGGGTACTGTGTGACCACAACTGATGACTGAGTACAGTCCAGTTAGCAAGTTCATGTGACAGAGGTCACGTGAGGAAGAGATAGAAGAAAAAGAAGAGATACACTACGGACGAGGGCCAGTATCTCGCCATATATGATCAGTATATATATATTATATACAGAAAATCATGATGTTTCAGATGTTACCGGTCAAGTTGTACAAGATATTCCATTCAATAACGATATCACATTACGGACACAAGAGGACGCCCGCACCCATCACCAGGTAAACAAAGGTTCAACAATTAGTCCGTAACTTGCGTTGCTACGTGCATTGCACGGAGGTTTATCCTCCCGGCGCCTGCACGAGTGGTGATGTTGGGAGACGCGACACAGAGGCAGTGTGGCAAGGGCTCTAGCCTGCATCTCCCCCAAAGAATGTAATGGTCTTGAAGTTATTAGAACGATGCAACGGGGCGGGTAGAACAGAGTAACAAAGTTCCGTTTTCTGTGACGGGGAAGATTAGGAACGTTCAACGGGAGTTTTACGCGTTAATTAAAACACGTTTGTCATATAATTGTGTGAATACTGCATATTTAACTGCGTTTTTATAT